GACTTGTTTTGTGACAATGTGTTATCAATCTTGGGGAATGTTCTGTGTGCATTTGAAAAGAATGTGTATTCTGTGAGTTTTGGATGGAATGTTCTGTATTTATCTATTAAGTCATCTGGTCTAATGTGTCATTTAAGGCCAATATTTCCTTATTTATTTTCTATTTAGATGATCTATCTATTGGTGTAAGTGGAGTGTTAAAGTCCCCTACTATGATTGTGCTATTGTCTATTTCTCCTTTTATGTCTGTTAATAATTGCTTTATATATTTAGGTGCTCCTATGTTGAGTGCATAGATATTTACAAGAGTTATATCCTCTTGTTGGATTGTTCCCTTTATCATTATGTAGTGCCCTTCTTTGACTCTTATTACAGTTTTTGTTTTAAAGTCTCTTTGTCCAATATAAGTATTGATACCCCAGCGTTCTTTTCATTGCCATTTGCATGGAGTATCTTTTTCCATCCCTTCACTTTCAGTTTGTGAGCGTCTTTGGGTCTGAAGTGTGTCTTTTGTATGCAGCATATACATGGGTCTTTTTTTTAATTGAATCAGTCATCCTATGCCTTTTGATTGGAGCATTTAGTCCATTGACATTTAAAGTAGCTATTGATAAAAATGCACTTATTGCCATTTTGTTCCTTTTTTTCTGGGTGTTTTAGTAGTTCTTCTCTGTTCTTTTCTTCTTTTCTTGCTCTCTTCCCTTGTGGTTTGATGGCTTTCATTAGTATTATGTTTGTGTTCCTTTCTCTTAATTTTTTGTGTACTTATTATAGGTTTCTGGTTTGTGATTACCATGAGGTTCATATAAAATAACCTACATATATAGCAATCTATATTAAGTTGATGGTGTCTTTAGTTTGACCTCTTGCTAAAAGCTCTACTCTTTTACTCCCCTCCTCTCACATTTTGTGTTTTTGGTATCATATCTAACCTCTTTTTTTGTAGATGTATGTCTGTTACCCTCTTATCATGGGAATAGATAATTTTAGTGCTTTGTCATTTGAGCTTCATATTAGCTTCATAGGTGGTTGATCTGCTACCTTTACTGTATATTTGCCTTTACCAGTGATTTTATTGCTTTTTTTAAAATATAATTTCCTTATTCTTGTTTGTGGTCTTCTCTTTTCCACTTAAATAAGTCACTTTAGCATTTCTTGTAAGGCTGGTTCCGTGGTGATAAACTCCCTTAGTTTTTGCTTGTCTGGGAAACTTTTTATCTCTCCTTCCATTCTGAATGATAAGCTTGCTGGGTAGAGTATTCTTGGCTGTAGGTTTTTTCCTTTCAGCACTTTACACATATCATGCCACTCCCTTCTAGCCTGTAAGATTTCTGCTGAGAAGTGGCTCCCTCTTTCTTAGAACACTTTCTTCATTTGGCTTCCAGAACACACTCCTGGTTTTCCTCCTTCTCACTGGCTGCTCCTTCTTGTCATCTTTGCTGCTTCCTCCTAGTCTTCTTGATCTCTTACTATTGGAGGGACTGTTGGAGGGACTTACTGTTGGAGAACCCAGGACTCAATCCTGCATGCATCTCCTCTTCTCTTAGTATATTTTCTCTCTTTGGGTTGTCACGTAGTCTCCTAACTTTAAATAGCATATGTATGCTAATGACTTTCAAATTTGTATCTCCAGCCTGGCTTACTCCATTTACATCAAAATTCCAACTCTCTACTCAAGCTCATCACCTGGAAGTCTAATAGGCATATCAAACTTTATGTGACCCTGATCTTCTCTAGAAGACTTGCTCACCCTGAAGACTTTTTCATTTCAGTTAGTGGCACCCCATCTATTCAGTTGTTCAGGCCAAGCAACTTAGAGTCATTCTTGAAGACTCTCTTACAAACAACACATCCAATCTGTCTGCAGATATTTTTGACTCTACCTTCAAGATATATCCAGAGCCCAACAACGTCTCTACACATCCCCTGCTACCACTCTGGATGAAGTCACTGTTCACCCAGATTATTGCAATAGCCTCCTACTGGTCTTCCTGCTTTTGTCCTTCTCCCTCTATGATCTGTTCTCCAAGCAGCCCTCAGAGTGGTGCTTTTAACACATTAGTTCTATTGTGTCTGAAATTCTAAAACCCTCAGGAAAGGCTCACTCTGAGGGAAAGCCTTCCCATTTCCCTCAGAGTAAGAGCCGAGGGATGACCCTCTATTACATGGCCCCTCATTACCTCTCTGATTCCATGGCTGGTCACTCTCCTCATCCCTCAATCTACTCTAGCTATACGGCCTCTTTGCCCTTCTGTAGTGTCCTTACATTTGTTGTCCCTTTGCCTGAAATCCTCTTCCCTCAGGTATCACACCTTCTCGATTAGGCCTCCCTAAACTGATGTATTTATAATTGGAATAACTCACTCCACAAAACCATCTATTTCCCTTCCTTAACTAATTTTTCCCCACAGCACTTACCATTACCAAAATACTGTGCATTTTACTTAATTATTTTATTAATTGCCTGACTTCCTCCACTAGAATGTAAGCTCCCTGAGGCAGGCTTGTTGTTGTTGTTTCTGTAGCATCCCCAATGCTCACATTGTGCTCAATAAATATTTGTTAAATGAATGAATAAATGGATGAATCTCAGAGGACAGTGTACCTGAATTGATAAGTGGGTTACAGGAAGGAGGTGTGTTTGTCTGTTCCATACACATTTATTGAAAATCTGCATTGTGTTGGGCAGTGTGGTCATTTTCGGAAAACAGGAAAAAATAATACTGTCCCCTTTCCCTTCCAAGTGCGTATGGTAACATGGCTCTGCTTATTCAGAATCTGTGCCAGAGTCAAGGCTGGTTTACCTAGGTGACAGTACTTAGGTAACTGTAGGGCAAATTTTTCTATTTTTTTCTTGTTGAAAATCTAAGGAACTGTGTCAAGTGCTTCTGGAAACACTTTTTAGAATTTAAGTGTCATGAAATTTTTCTGTCTGTGTAATGGACCTAGAGGGGATCAGAAAGAAGAAAGAAACAAACTTTTAATAAGCCAGTTTTACTATTAAATGTCATTTAACTACTTTGGTGGCTAGACTTAAGAAAATAAAGTTTTGAGATGACTTTTTTTTTTCTGCTGAGGAAGATTTGCCCTGAGCTAATATCTGTGCCAATCATCCTCTATTTTGTACGTGGGTTGCCGCCACAGCATAGCCACCAATGAGTGGTGTAGGTCTGTACCTGAGAACTGAATCCAGGCTGCCGAAGTGGAGTGCACTAAACTTAACCACTAGGCCACAGGGCTGGCCCCTGGGATTACTTTTTGACATAAGTGTATCCTTATGAGCTCATTTCTCTGTCTCTGGGATAACAGAGATGTGGCTGTATTGTATTTTTCCTAAGAGACAGGGCAGCCTGTATTCAAATTTGAATTTTAAAAAGAACTTCTTATTGTCTCTATAGCCCTGGGTCAAATGCAGTGCTGGATAGCAGTAAAATAGTTGATAAAGAATTATTTTGTGTTGAATTATGTTTTTCAAATGTTATTTTAAAGGGACCTAGGAAGAGCCCATAATTTGATAGGGGAAATAGAGTGCTCATCATACATTCATGTGGGATTTCACAATAGGTGAAGTCAAGGTTCTCAGTCAGAGAAAAACCGTGAACTTTCAGGGGCCGTCCCAGTGGCATAGTGGTTAAGTTCTCACAACTCTGCTTTGGTGGCCCAGGATTCATGGGTTCAGATCCTGGGTGCAAACCTACACACTGCTCATCGAGCCATCCTGTGGCGGCATCCCACATACAAAATAGAGGAAGATGGGCACAGATATTAGCTTGGGGCCACTCTTCCTCAAACAAAAAGGGGAAGATTGGCTACAGATGTTAGCACAGGGCCAATCTCCTTTGCCAAAAAAAAAAACAAAAAAGAAATTGTGAACTTGGGAGGACCATAATCTTTATAAAAATGACATAGCATCCTAAACACCCTTCTGGAGCATTGAGAGGGTCTTGTCATAAACTGCAGGGTGCACAGAGCATTGCATGATAGTAGAAGAAGTAGGAATGGAGACATGCACTCTGTTAGGAAAAGAGACTGTAGCATACAGTGTCCGTATGTATATCTTCTATGCTAAGGCAACTCTAGATGATGAGGATTTTGCACAAACATAACAAACAAATCAGAAACAAACAGAAAAAACACAGCCTTTCTCCTTCCCTCCCTCTCTCCCTCCCTCCCTTCCTCTCGTTTTTTGGGGACAGCCACCAGCACTAGCCTTTTCCCCATTATCTGCCATGATTATATACCAAAGATTCTCAGGCATTTAATGGGAAAAGAGAAAACTTCAGAAGACCTAGGTAGAGTTTTGGTGGAAAAGACTAACAAAAGCTTTAATCTCAGACCCTGGGAGGTGTCTGGCCTCTGTAAGTAGAAGCAGATTTGAGATCGCTCTTTAATTAAAACCATCTGATGCACAAAACCCCTTCTCAGTTGCCCTGAATAACTTGTTTTCCAACTCCGTCTTCAAACAGTTTGTCTTCCAATAAAGCATGTTATCGTTTGTTCAGAAGACTGATAACCCGAGAGTTGTGAATAATGGAAAAATGACAAAACTTGCTATACATAATCAGTTGGCAAAGCAAGGAGAAATAACAGCTGCTTGGCTGTTGTAACATATATTTTTAAACTGAGCTTGTAAATCAGTATGAATGCCAAGTCACAGATTTTCTTCAAAAATCTCAAGATGGCTTAAGGCCATGGAGATAGGCATTTGTTGGTGGTTTTCTTCTACCACTGAGCCTTTGATTTCGGAATGATATTGGGTAGGGGGAAAGAGTGCTGTTAGAGCCACAATTGCTCAGGCTCCCAGACCCGCCAATGTAAATGCCAACTGGAACCAGACAGTGACGTTATTATGACACATTTTTCTCAGCTGTACAGTGCCAATCTCCATGAATTCAGGTAGGCACTGACTTACGGGAAAAAAATCAATGTTACCCTGAAAAGTTGATTGCCAGTTAAATTTTCATAAATGCTCACTGCAGTAAAAAACTTGATCTTTACAGGGACTCTGTGGATAATCATCTTTCAAGATAAGGATCTTTTGGAAGAACGTGTTGGTTCAGGTGACCTAAGTTGCGATCCCAACTCTTCCTCTTCCTGGCTCTGTGAGGGCTGGTCAGGTATGTAACCTTGAAGCACCCTTCGCCTCATCTGTAAAATGAACACCAGACCATCTTATTTGGAGGTTCCATTAAAATGAGATCGTGGATATTTAAGTGATTTGTTGATTTAGTTTATTATTTTTAAAAAACTATGAAATTGAAAATTTTGGAGATAATCTATCAGACACCCACGTATCAACCACTGGATTTAAAAGCTAGTAACACCTGCCTTACCCTGGTGGTCTAGTGGTTAAGATCCGGCACTCTTACCACTGTGGCCCGGGTTTGTTTTCTGGTTAGGGAGCCACACTACCTGTCTGTCAGTTGTCATTTGGTGGCAGCTGCATGTTTCTGTAATGCTGAAAGCTATGCCACTGGTGTTTCAAATACCAGCAGGGTCTCCCAAGGTGGACGGGTTTCAGGGGAGCTTCCAGATTGAAACAGACTAGGAAGAAGGACGTGGCCACCCACTTCTGAAAAAAAAATCAGCCATAAAAACCCTATGAATAGCAGCAGAACATTGTCTGCTATAGCACCAGAAGATGAGAGGATGGCTGGAAAAGACCGGGCAGGGTTCTGCTCTGCTGAACACAGGGTCACTAGGAACTGGAATTGACCTGACAGCACTAACAACATTTGCTTTATTTGTGTCTTTTCTTTTTTCAGAAACAAAATATAAGCAATACAGTTTATTGTTCCTTATCTCATCCTTTACCTTCCTTCAGAGTTAATCACTATCCTGAAATTGGTGTGTATCTTTGCCATCTGTATTTTTATGTTTATCATATATGTATGTGCCCCAAGCAATGTGTAGTATTTTTTTGTAAGTTTTACATATTTACTAAATGAAGTAGTTGTAATTCTTTTTGCAATTGCCTTTCACGCAACATCGATTTTAAGATTTAGCCATGTTGGTACATTAACTAGTAATGTATTCATTTAAGCTACTGTCAAATATGCCATTACGTGTAATTATTCATTTCCTCACTGACAAACTTTGAGTTTGCTTCTAAGTTTTTGCTATTCAAACAAGGTTTCAATGAACATCCTTGTCGATTTATTGGTGGGCATATGTGGGATGGCTCTCTGGGTTTTGCACCTAGAAGTAAAATCCTGGATCCTAGGGATGTGCATCTTCATCTTTGCGATATATTGCCAAATTACTCATCAGAGTATTTGTACCTGCCACATGGGAGAGTTCCAGTTTCTCCATTTCCTCTTCAACGATGAGTATTTCAGACACCTTCTTTTTCTGAAGTGGTGTCTCACATCGACTGAGACTGAGAAATTTTAGGTGTTTCAGTTTTCTCTTCTGTGAATTGCCTATTCATAGCCTCTGCCCATTTTATTATTGTACTCTTTGTATTTTTCTTACTGATGTAAAAATTATATTTATTTTTTGATGTATTCTGGATACTATCCGTTTTTCAGTTATGTGTGACAAATAGCTTCTCCCAAGTATGTGGTTAGTGTTTTAACCTAGTTTATGATATCTTATATCAAAAAATTTAATTTTCAAGATAATCAAATTAAAATATAATCAAATATAATCAAGAAAGAAAATCAAACTTTTCCTTTATGATTTGTGGTCTTGGCATCTGCTTTAAGAAACAACTTATTTCTCTGTGTTCATAAAAATATCCACTCCCTATCTTTTCTTTCAAAGTTCTAAAATTCACATGTGGGTTTTTATGAAGTGAGGTTGGAATCAGCTGTGCATTTTTTTTTTGCATATGGACAACCTTAGTTGCAGCGACATGCATTGTGTGGTCCATCCTTTTCCGCGGACTTACAATGATACCTTACGTACATGTCTTTTTTTCCCTGAGCTTTCTCTTCTATTCCTTTGGTCTATTTTCTCTTTCTTTGGACAAATACATTTTCTTAAAGTCGCTATAACTTTGTTTTAATCCCTGCATGACTCCTTTGTCTTCAGATGGTTGTGACCATTCTTGGCCCTTATCTTCTCTACATGACTTTCATCAACTTGTGAAATTCTGCAAAACACTCTGTGGCAATTTGATAGGAATTGCATTAAAACATATAGATCAATATGGGAAGAAATGATACCTTAATGATGTTGAGTCTGTCATCCATTACCATTTTATGTTTCTCCATTATTTAGTTTTTTTAATATTTGATAACATGTTAAAATTTTCTCCAAAAATCTTGAACGTCTTATGTTACCTATATTCCCTATTACTTAATCCTTTTGTTGCTTCTGTGAGTGGATCTTTTTAAAAAGATTTTCTCCTTGGTGGTTGTTTGTAAATACGATTTTAACCAATATTTATGTATTATTTTTTTTATTAGCAACTTTGCCAAACTTGCTTAAGTTCCAATTATTTGTCTGTTTTCTGATATTTATCTGTATAACTAAGGTGTTGGAAAATAATGATAATTTTATTTTTTTCTTTCTAATCCTTATTTATTATTTATTTTTCTTACCTTTTTGCACTGGTTAGAACCACCAGTATTATGATGAGCAGAAAGGGTAATAACAGACATCCTTATCTTGTTCCCAATCATAAATAAATTGCTTCTCATATTTCACAATTAAGCATGGTGTTCACTATAATGAAGCACCATTTATTAGATTAAGATTATTTCCTTCTATTTCTAGTTTGGTAAGAGTATGTTTCTCTTTTTAATCATGAATCAATGTCAAAATTTATTGAATGTCTTCTTTTTTGGCATGTATTGGGATGATTTTATGATTTTTCTTCTTTAATCTATTAGCAGGTGTGAGTTACATTAATAGATTACCAATAATTGAATTATCCTTCCATATCTGGAATATACCTAACTTGGTCATAATTTAAACACACACATACATACCCATACGCTACTGGATTTAGTTTTCCAGTATTTTACTTAGGATTTTTATATCTATCACATTAGTGAGATTAGTCAGTGTTGTTTGTTTGCTTGTTTTTTTACATATATTACTCAGCTACTTTTAGTATTAAGGTTCTACTAACTTCATAAAATGAGTAATTGATCTTTTTCTCTTTTTCTAAATTCTGAATCATTTATATAAAATGTGAATTATCTGCAATTTGAAGATTTGGGAAAGGTTGCTTCTGAAACGTTAGAAGAATTTTTTTTTTGTAGCTATGTTTTTAACTATGGACACTTTTAAACTTTACATAGAGTTATGCTGGTTTTCCATGTTTTTGTTAGTCAATATTGGTAATTTATGTTTTTCTAGCGTTTTCATTTAAATTTTATTCATATAAAGTTTTACACGATATTCTCATATACTTAAAAAAAACTTCATTCTATCTATAGTTATATCGATTTTGATTCCTAATCTTTTTTCTTTTTTCCTTGATCAATCTTCTACAGATTTGTGTTTCCTTTGTGTGTTTTTCCCCCCAAAGAATCAGTTTTTTGTTTTACTGATCAATTCTAATATTTCTTTGTTTTCTCTTCTATTAAGTTCTACTTTTATGTTTAGTATTTCCTGGACGTTCGTTGTTTTCTTCACACTTCCTGAGTTGCTGGCCTTGTAACTGTTCTGTTTTTCCTTTCCTGACATAGATATGTAAAAGCATGCACATTTCCTTTTAAAGAATACTTAGGCTGCTCCTCACAGATTTATGTTATGTTTTCATTGTTATTCAGTTCTAAGTATTAAAATTTCCAGCATGATTATGAATGAATTAGAAGTATGTTCTAAAATTTCCAAATGCATATTTTCACTTTTCTTTTACATGTTGGTTTCTAATTTTATTGCGTTTTGTAGTCATTTTAATGCTGTTAGTTTATTTCTCTTTGAGTGGTGCAGGGGGTGCTTCAGCTTCACCCTCGTGTTCTGGGATTCTCTCAGTGGTGTCTCGTTCATGAATAGTTATCAGTTCTTGTGAGGGGGAGTGAAGTCAGGAATGACCTAAGTCGCCATAATGGTGATGTCATTCCCTTTTAAGTCTTTTTCAGATTGTTCTCTCTTCTATTATGTAGCTCTAAGTTTCCTAATTGACTCTGTTTGTCATGTCTGTTGGTTTTCCCTCATTTCAAATAATTTCCAAATGTTGGTTGTGTTGTTCATTGTGAGCTCATCTTCAATGGGATGTTTTTACATGGGCTTTCCGTGCTCTTGGTTATGGACCTTTCTCTACAGGGTATTTTATATTTGTTTCTACTGGAATCCCTAGGTTTTCAAGGGTCCAGGGCCTGTTTTTATGTTAATTTCTCAGCTTGTTATTCCTTTATCACACAGATAGTGTAAATTTGACCCCCACATCCACCTACGTCACAAGTTTGGGATTTTTCCTTCTTCTCGCATGAAGTTTCTTCTTTTCCTAGAACCCCTGTAGATGTCCCACTACTGCCCTGGTGAGAGGCTGCCTTTCTAGAGTCCTTGTGGTTGCGCACGATTCAGTAGACTCTACCTTTCCCTGGCATCCAGAAAAATGCCTTATGTTTTTGGGTGGACACTGAAACTCCAGTCCTGGCCACAAGACCGCCAGGGCCACGGAGGCCCTCAGCCTGTAAGCATACCGCTCTAGTGTTGAGTAACTTCATTTGTATAATTCCCTTTTGAGATCAGCCATATATTAAAATGTTTTGGTTGTATTTTAGAATTTCTAATTTTCTAAGAGTTGGAGGGGATGCATTGTCAGATCAGGCAAACTTGTTGTTATAACTTATATAGAATTTTAAAAATGTAAGTTAGAGGTACTTCGTGCACTGTAAAATTCATCCCTAAAATAAATATCCCCTAAACAAATTTTTTTACGTATTAGCTTGCTTAAGGCAGGGTATACACAATTATTTTGTTAAGTTCATTTAGAGAGGGGAAATCTAAGTATGAATTGCAGTTTTGTTCTAAGATTGTTGTAGAGCCTTGGAAAAAAGGACGAATCTTGGCTGCAGGGAGAAAACTTAATTCCATTTACTGCTGATTTACAGGAATATTTACATTTACATCATTGTTAATTCTCTGGACCAAGATCAATCAGCCCCTGCTGGGCCCTGTAAAGCCAGGAAGCTCACAGTGATGTGTACTCTTTTGT